TTGAGTTGATCGCCACCCTGTTGGCCCTCCAGATAACTCCCTACTTCGATTTGTATCGATCATCCTACTCCCACTTTTGTTTACATTGATCAATCACTTTTCTCAATATTGCCCTCCGCACAAACACGATGAGTGAGCAAGCGACCGCCGAAGAAGGCAGCCACGACCTCGAGGGGCCGTTGTTGCAAGATGCTCAACCACCTAGTTGGGCGCCAACGGGCCCCCTTGATTATGTATCTTCAGCCTTGCGGCAAATATTGAAGCAGGAACCTCGAGACCGAGATTTCGCTGTACACATTCTGACCTGGTTGATGTTCGCCGAGCGGAATTTGATGCCGACACAACTCGGGCAAGCCTACGCCATCCAACAAACTGGGGATGCCTCGAACCGCGATTTTAACAGATCTGAAGAGGACATCGTGTCCGTATGCAAAGGGCTCGTGAAGCTAGAGCCAAGAGAAGGAAGAAAGAAGGTCAAATTCGTCCGCAAGCCTAACCTGGACCAACTGCTACAGTATGGATTGGTTGACCGCAAGCCTCACTTGACCATCATCAGGACTTGTTTGACCTGCCTCCAAAGCGATGAATTTGCGGAATCCGAATCAAGCCCTGAAACCATGGAACGTCTGGGCCAAGACAAGAGCATGTTCACGTTCTACGCTGCTACGAGATGGATGGATCACCTGCCGGACATGGACGCAAAATCGGGGGAGCTGGCAGAGGTCGAAGAGCTGATCACACAATTTCTTCTGCGTGGTAAAGGGACCACGGGTTGGTTCCGGTTTCTCGAGCGGATTTCACGTGAAGACGTTTTAGAGCTACACGTAGCTGCTATCATCGGTCAGGTTCCGGTGATGAAGAATCTTCTGGAGACGCGGAAACACAAAGTTGATGCCACGACCTCGCACGGACGGACGGCTCTACACTTGGCCGCGAAATATAAACGTGCGTCCGTCGTGAAGATGCTTCTGGAGACTTCAGCTCAACTGCTGCATATCCATGATGCGATGGGGAACACAGTACTGCACTACGGGGCCATGTCCAACCGCTGGTTCACAACAAGACCACATCTGGACACGGTACGCGAGATTGTGAGCGCGTACGAGACAGGCGTCATGGGTGAGGACATTCGCAGCAAATGTACGGGGATTCGCAACGGGTCAAATAAGACTCCGTGGGACTACGCTTTGGAAGCCGCGAGGATGTTCCACGGTCCGGAGCTAGTGGGACATCCTGCGTATCAGCTCGCTGAGGTAAAAATAGGAGCTCAGTATGAAATAGCCAAAATGATGACCTTTTGGCCCTGGGACAAGTCCATCGAGGAAGAGGGCAACTATTTTCCTCCCTTGCGGCAAGTCAAGGCACTTGATTCTTCAAAGGCGGGCATGGCCAGACTTATGGAGGCCTTGGCCAAGAGAGGCCAGATCGGCGGTAGCCGGCGGATGGTGGAGGTGAAAGACCTCTCGGAGATGGCGGTGAAAGACCTCTCGGAGACGACACCGAATTTATATGCCATCGCCTCCAACAGGTCGGCCCTGGTCGACATGCTCCTTGAGGAAAACAAGAAAGGCACTCAGCTACTCACCGATGCTTATGAACGCCAACTGTGCTTTATGGCCTGGCTATTACTTCAAACGGGGGCTGAGGCAAACCATATAAGAAAAGGCAAGCCCTCGGCCCTCTATTGCGCAATCCTTTTACGTTCAAAGTCGCTGGTGTCTCTTCTGCTTGCGTACAGAGCCGATTTAGGATTCCGTTATGATAACGGGACTCCTCTACATTTTACTCCTCTAGATCTTGCGATTGAACTTGGCGAAACTGATATTGTGCGTCAGCTGCTGGTTAATGACGGCGCCGAAATTCGGAAAGTCACCACGAACATGATGTCTACGGCTCTACCTCTCGCAATCCTAGACGGCCGCAAGGAGATGATTCATATGCTTTCTGGTCTTCAACTAACGCCTATTGATGCATTAATAGAAGAGGCGAAAGTTACTCTGGCGGCATTGGCTCGGGAGTTCCGCGAGACAGTGAGGAGGAAGGATCTACAGGGAAGTACGGTGCTGCATCTCGCCCTTGTAAGCCGGGATCGTTCTTCATGTTACGAAATGCTTTTGAGTATGCTGATGTATGGGGCTGATGTTGATGCGGAGGACGAGAAGGGACGGACGCCTCTTATGCTCGCGAAGGAGCTGGGTCTACACGGGGAGAGGATCCTTTTGGAGATGCACAGCTCCAAGTCCGACATGGAGCACCAGGCACCAGCCCATCAGCTTCAACGGGTACCAGCCCATCAGCGTCAACAGGCACCAGCCCATCAGCTTCAACGGGTACCAGCCCATCAGCGTCAACAGGCACCAGCCCATCAGCTTCAACAGGCAACAGCCTATCAGCTTCAACAGGCACCAGGGCATCAGCGTCAACAGGTACCAGACCATCGGCGTCAACGGGACTGACAGATTCCGACGACTTTTCTGAAAACTAGAGACTGTTATATGTTGTGGTTACTCTGGGCTTACGAGTACTTGAGATTGAGTTGGTGGGAGAATCGTGTCTTTCTTGATTAAACATGTCTGAAATATAAGTCTGCTCACATTTTGAACCATGGTTTATGTCGTAGCTACAGTGAGGGTGATGAGCATTGCATCTCAAAGTGATATAGCCCCAACCCAGTCGGTGGGACAAGGGCAGAGTAACTGGGCTTGGAGCGCAGTGTTCAATTCAGACTATAATACTTCAACGTTAACTTTGAGATATTGACGGCTCTTGGTTTTCCATGGAGCTCTAAGGGACGAAAGGTGCCTGTAAATATAAGGGGTCGTTGAGGGCCTTGTGCCTGAGGCAGCCCTCGCTTAGGACCGACTTCGGGCCCCGTGACCTTTGCCTTCAATGTTTAATGTTCGAACGTTGTCTGGTGTAACCGTCGACCGTTATTGGCCCACCGCCCTTTGTTGTGTACCAACCGTGCAACAATTGGGGTAATAGAAAAATGCGAAATATACATATGCTATCCTTGAACTTTTACTACACTGATGGAGAGTTGTATGTCTATTTTTAATCCTCCAACTCTTCCTCTTATGCCAAGTTTCCAAGGCCATCTTTGATAGTTTATAGTTTAGTTTATAGTTTGCAATTGGAGTTGTAGAGCAGGGTTAGGGTTAGGCACGTCACCTGACTTGCCGAAAACGACATCCGGAGGCCCCCGCCCCGAGTTTGGTCCTTGGACGTTATTTCACGGCGTGAATCTCGGAATAAAGTAATATGCCCTCCTCAAAATCACTGGAGCATGTACTGATACGGTTGGGAAGTGGAGGCGAAATACCGTTGACTCCATATTTCACCTTGATTCCGAGAATCACGGCCTCAAGGCTACCCCCCGCCACATTTCGGCCCCAGAGCCGAGACATCCCGGTGCACCACAATGATGGATACTACACCAGGGTCCAGATGATAAAGATGGGTCGGCGGGAATTCCGCTGTGCCGCCCTGCCACCAAGGCCTGGAGGCCCGTCTCGGAAATTCCGGTGGAGACGTGATGCATTATAAACGCGTCCTGCTCCATTGGTGTCCCCGTCTCACCTTGAACCGCAAGCAACTCACTTCACTGTCTACGGTCGGCGGACAAAATGACGAGAAAAGTGTCAGTGTCGGAGGTGCTACAACACTCGAGCCCCGAGAGTGCGTGGATCGTGGTCGACGGCAACGTCTATGACATGACGGACTTTGCGCCCTCCCATCCCGGCGGCCCTGAAAGTGAGCGAGCCTCACCACTCACCATCCACGGTGCCTGGCTAACACAAACTCAGTCATCCATCAATACTCGGGCCGTGACGCCTCGGTGCCATACAACGAGGTCCACGCCCCTTCACTAATCAAGTCGTCTCTGGATGCCAAGCACCACATCGGCACCCTCGATGCCGCCACAGTCACGGAATCATGGACGGCGGCAAACACCCCCGCTCCCCAAGCAAAAGCAGCGTCCTCAAAGCCCCCCCTAGCCGACATCATCAACATGTACGACTTTGAAAAGGCCGCCCACCAGTCATTCACCAACAAGGCGTGGGCGTACATCAACGGCGCGTCCAACGACAGCATCACGCGCGACATCAACATCGAGACCCTCAAGAAGATTTGGTTCCGGCCCGCAGTCATGAAAAACGTCTCCCGCGTGACGACCAGAACGAGCCTATTCGGGTGCCGCCTCGACGCGCCCTTCTACGTAGCTCCCACGGGCGCGGTCCGTACCGCCGGCGAAGAAGGAGAATTAGCCCTCGCCCGAGGCGCCGGCCCGTCCGGCATCATCCACTGCATCTCCACGCCGGCGTCGTACCCGCACGACGAGATCCTCCAAGCGACGCCCGAGCACGCCTTCTTCCAGCTGTACGTGGACAAGGACCGCGCCAAGTCCGCCAAGCTGCTGCGCCAAATCAGCGCCAGCGACAAGGTCAAGGCCGTCTTTGTCACCGTCGACCTGCCCGTCGTGTCGAAGAGGGAGGACGACGAGCGCGTCAAGGCGGAGAACACGGTCGAGAAGCAGGTCTCGCCTGGGAAGGACCAGAAAGGCGCAGGTTTGGCGCGGCAGTCGGGCTCCTTTATCGACCCGGCCGTCACGTGGGACGACATCCCCTGGATCCGGAAACACACTACTCTCCCTGTTGTTGTCAAGGGTATCCAGAGGTGGCAGGATGCCCGGACGGCCATGAGCCTAGGGTGCGAGGGGATTGTGGTGAGCAACCACGGCGGAAGGGCGGCCGACACGGCGCAGCCATCTATTATTACTTTGCTCGAGTTGCATAGGAACTGTCCCGAGGTGTTTGGCAAGATGGAGGTGCTTGTCGACGGTGGATTCCGGAGAGGTTCCGACATTGTCAAGGCCATTTGCCTGGGGGCCTCGGCCGTCGGGGTCGGAAGGCCGTTTCTATATGCTGTCAACTACGGCACCGCTGGCGTGGAGCACGCCGTCGCACGTAAGTCCTGCGCGTACTGAACCGTTACTTAGCGACACCTTTTTTCTGATTTTGTACTATTGTAGTATTGCGCGACGAAATCGAGACGGCGATGCGGCTTTGCGGCATGACCGACTTGATGGAGGAGGCTGGTCCTGATTTCCTAAACACCGCGCCTGTTGATCATCTCGTGTATCATGGCCCGCACGCGTACCTTGGTCGGAAGCCGAGAACGAGGGCGCGCTTGTAGGTTTTTGTTGCTTTTGCTTTCTTGACTGGCGCAGATCATGGGGCTGTGATAGCGGAGTGGTGCGCTCCGTGAATATGGATCCTGTGTGTGGAAATGCTAGAGTTGTTAATAGCGGTTGTCAGACTCGAACTTGCTATGGTGTTTATTTTTACAATTGCTGGAAATTGTGCCTTCTATTGCCGTCTGGGTGATGAAGGCGACAAAGTGTGTAGATAAATATATCGCGTTGAATATATCACAAGACGCTCGTGACGAGAGCCAAGCGTCGGCATTTCGTGTGCACAACCCATTATCTTCATCCCTAAATAAAGTATCTTAGCATCTCGTGCATGTAAAAAGAAGGTCAACGGGGTTTCGAAAGGTCAATAGCTCAAGGAGCACAAATTGATACATTGAGTCGGCGAGGGATAAAGGTTCAAGGCAGTGTTGGACCTGCGGCCTCAATGTAGGTCTCGTCATGTCTCCTTTGTGTCTCCTTTGTTCGCCCAACGCCTTTGTTATGGCTTAGTCATATGACAAAAGACGTCTCCCAATGCTGGAGAATTGAAGATCCTCCAAGTGCGCAGACGTTCATCTCAGTCTGCAATTTTTCAATCGTCATGGCGGCTTGCGAGCTAAAAACTCTGAGTAACCCAGGCCCTCATGACAGGAATATCCCCTGGTTTGGGAGACAGGAACCGCTTAGTGAGGCCGTTTGTCGCATGTTCCCTGCCTGTTTCGCTGACTATTAATCCTGTCGGCCGTGGTGCTCGCGTCTTGGCTTAGGAGGACATTATAGTTTGAGTTTTCACAGCTTTGGATAGCGTCGTCTTTGTATTAACAGCGCGATTAGAATGGAACAAAGGGAAAGTAATTTGCCACTGTACAAAATACCATCACATGATTGAAGTTTTCATCTTAGTCCAGGTCCAATTTGTCACAGTATTCCCCCCAGTAGTTTTGTCTCCTTATGTCTTTGCTGATTACTTGGCCTCTGTTTTCCCGCTTATTATTTTCATCGTATTAAGAAAATTATGAGTAGTACAGGAACCTCGATATTTGCCTTCTACACTTAATATCTCTCTGGCATTTCTTGCGGTTCACGTTCCGGCCTTGAAACAGGCATCTCATGAGGAACGGACGGGTCATACGGCGCTGGTGCCGTCGACGTGCCTAGTTCGCTGTAATAATTGGTCCCGTGCTGCCAGGTCGGAGGAGTTGCCACGGAGCCGGGCGTCATTGCTGTTGAAGATTTGCCCACGCTACCTCGGTGCATCTGATCAAAGTACTCTTGTGTGTAGCCCTCGAAGCCCTGGTCCGCCATGGGGCCCGAGACAACTGGTTGTTGAGGACTAGAACCGGTCGGCCGTTTCCTTCGATGTATGAGGAAGAAGGCTAAAGCAACTGCCAAAGCCAGGCCAGCTGAAACCGGCAGAGCATGGATTAGCCCCGTTGAAGACAAAGTTGGGCTCGGACTGCTACTTACCAACTCCCCCGACGACGCCTCCCACTATAGCGCCGACGGGTGGAGATGGCTGTGGTATCACAGTATGTGTAATAGTCGGTGGAATGGGAGTGGTAGTCGGAGTAGTCGAGGGTGCAGTCGAATTATAATTAAAGTAGATTGGTAATGTTCCTCCTTGGGTATTACACACCAGCCGACTGTACCCGCCATACGGCGAGCCAGCATACGAGAGGACTACGCAAGAGGGCAATTGTGCCTCGGTGCTATTTATATCGATAGGTCAGCTTTCTTCTTAGATGCTTCTGTCCTCTGTTTCGAACATATGAGCTCACTTACCAGAAAGTCGTGCCATCGTAACTATCAATTGTCCCTGCATTCACGGGGTTATATGGTTCGCATTGTGTCACAAGGGTGCAATTTGCATCGGGACCGCAGCAGCCAAGTACCAATTCACGCGAGTTAAAATGGCACCACTGGCCTGATGGGCACGCCGACCAGGCTACGGAATAATTGTTAGTGACTAGACTGGCAACGTGTAGTTCATTTCTGGGAGGGAAACTAGACGCAGTATCACTGACCCTGAGTTCCCGAGACATATCCGCATCCTGTGGTCTGACCAGGGGGAATGGTGCGTCTGAAGAGCAGATTATCAGGAGCAGGCGTCGGAGGAGGAGTCGCTTCGTCTCGTAGTACAGGACTTGGCCTATCGCCGCCAGTCTGGTATACGAGGTTAGCATTAGCGCTGATGCTCGCACAAACCACAAGCAGTATTTCAATCGCGTGTTGTTGAAGTAGAGTCATTCCGTGCCAGTCTGCTCTTGTTGCATATGAGCCGGGTAGGAAGTGATGAACTCTCCCGAGATTTGCTCACTCACAGCGCGACGCCTCGTAGTGTTTTTTTTTCTTTCTCGATTTTCCAGGTTGCGTCGTTCTGTATTATACTAGTCTGACATTCCTTCGCAACCCTGGGCATGGACTCATCCAGTGCCGGTTTAAATAGTAGCAATACGGGAATTCGGCATTTTTCTGGCGTTAGGGTTTGAGCCGTACGAGCTGGCAGAACTAGAAATGGCCATCTATTGCTCGGCTGAGCCGTGGCACTCCGGGCTCTACCGCCACATGAAGCCACTCTCCTGACCAGACATCTCCATTCCATGGACTGGGCTGTAACTACAAGTTGCCTTGAGTAATTAGGCACAGAACCATGTTGCTGGGTATTTGAAATGAGTCGTTCATCTTGAGCACTATCGCGAGTGCAATAATGCTAGACTACTACTCGAACCAATGAGTAACAGCGTCCAGTATAAGCTGTAGCTGCAACTCGCCGGTCTAGATGTCGTCAACATCCATCGCTACGCAGCCGAGGCATGACGCACTCAATAAAATGACATGGAGTTTCCGTAGATGTACACGAGCTCCTTATAACTTTATGAGCGCCAGAGTACTGCCTCTGCAAGTGCCATGGAGCACTCATTATCTGCGCGGTTATGTCGGCCACGGCAGTCATTGACCTCAGCAATCCTTTCTGTTTCAAAGGACAGAGTCAAGGATGATTGAGAACTGTCACCAGACAGTGAACGAAGAGCAAAAAGTAGTAGAGATCTCCATACATGAATAATGTCCCAATTTATCACCATTACCAGGCTCATTACGGAGCGGTAACGAACAAATCGAGCAATTTGAAGATTTAACCATAAGCTTGCGACTACGTCGACAAGTGCAGTTAACGATAGCGACCACTTTTAACAACAAAACCAATAATTCTTTTGCACACATACAAGCAGAAATACGCCTCTCGGGTCATAGTTTACGGAAAACGTGGCATCCTCCAATGGACCGTTGTAACCCTAAGCTAACCCTAACCCTGTAGGCTGGTCAAGCATAATTTAGATCCACTCATGGAATAATAAAACCGGCCTTAGTTTGCCCGTTAGCCGCTTGAATAAGTATAATAACAAAGTTCGTCAGACTGACCCTAGATTTCCGTCGTTGCAGACATTCAGATTCCGACAGCCCTAGATATTCAATGAATGTAATACCCAAAGACAACACAACACATTGGAGTTATTGCTGGTGCTTAACAGACGTGGTAAAGTAATCTATTTCTCTACTTTACTAACTGTCCCAGATTGCCGTAGCCGGCCGAGCTTAAACTCCAGGGGAGAACTCCATACAGCGACTGTGGCTTCATCCAATGGGCCCAAACAAGTTCAAGGCCCAACAGTACAAGACAGCCCGGGCAATTAGTTGAGCGCGGCCCTGATGTCACTTGCAATCTTGGTATACTCTTCGTTAATCTGCTCCGGCTTGGACTTCTATAGTTTTGCCACATTAGCCTTGTTCGTCCCGCAACTTGTACCCTTTGTAGATTGACGTACCTGGTCTCCCGGTGCACCCTCTGGGTGCTTCTCATTCGCCCTGTTCAAGGAATTTTGAGAAATTTCCGAAAGTTTGTTGATATTGTCCTTAACATCTTGAGGGCTGCCGCTGAGCTGCTCCTTCAACTTATTTATCAAGTCTACCTGTTCACCTGCCGTCTTCTTCCACTTCTCGCCCTTTCCTTCGGGATTATTCTGCTTCTTCTGCTCAAAATAGGCCTTGACCTCTGCGTTCTTGGCATCAAAGGCGTTGAGCGCCTCGTTTGCCTTGGCAAGGTCCTGACGGGGCGAAAGAGCAGGACTGGCGATGGCCAGGCCGGAAAAGACGGCAAGAAGAACACTTGAAGCCTTCATTTTGATAAATAGAGTGGTGAGAAATTTGGAAATAGAAGTAGAGACTTGTTCTTGACAAGTTGTAGCGTAGTTGTTTGCGGTGAGTGTTTGATTTGCGAGATTGTGTGATTGGGAATGCTGTTGGAAACGAGGGCTGCATCGAATATATATATATTTTTCTTCGTAATCGACCTCGAGTATGGTGAACATGATCTGCAATCATGCATCGGCATGAGATGATGCTTCTCGTGCCGCTGAAACAGCAACCTGACTCGTTGAAGCCTATCTGCAATGCATGGCTGCAAGCTGCGGCGATTTCGCCTGCGCATTATATTTATTGTACACTATAATTGAAACTGCCAGTTTAAGAGCACCTACCGGCACCTCCCTCGCAAATCCACGTTTCAAGCGCTGGCGTGACTCATGCGTGATGGCATCCCACCCCGAATCACCGATGACGCCATGCAACGGACCCCTGCGGAGATGTGACGAGTGCTATTATTACGAGTAAACGTTCAAGTTTTGAGTTTTGAATCCGCCTTGGTCAAATCTGCACGGGACACCCTGTAACCACGTAGATCTCGGTCTCTATATCCCCTGGCTATATTCGCTCGGGAATTGATGGGGCGGCATGACCTAACGGATGCATGGCTTTCACAGCATCTGGTTCTTTCAAATCTTCTCTAGTTACCCCCATGCGTTTCTGCCACCTCTATAAAAATACCTTGACGAATGGTTAGTATTACATTCGTGGCAGGCCTTGAAGTAAAGGGCTTCGCGTTTGTCACGGGCCGCGTTTAAGCTGCGCAAGTGAATTGATTTTTATTAGGCTACTATGTGAGAATTGCATGGACCCATAATTTAGGCTTAGCTGAAGCTTATTCTTCTTTTTTGTTGGCGTTTCGTAGATATATATGTAACGTGAGGGCCCCTACGTATTAAAAAATGTGAGTCCAGTCTCTTATATCAACGGCCAAGGCTTAGAGTCTGAGACGCTACCTTCTTAATTATATGATATTTATTCCGTCGGTGATTATGCGCAGTGTATTTATAATAAGCCAGGGCATAGTGGTTTCAGAGCTGTTAAGAAACCTCGTTACACCACCGTTACAATAAAGTACATGCTGGTCCATAAAAAGCGAATTAGAAGCTGTAAAAAGTCATGCCTCTGTATTAAAAGTGTTATACCGCTCTGTCAATTTCCATTCGCTCGCCGCCTCCGCTGCCTGGCTACGCTACCAAGTCAAGTTGGAATCGAACTTGAACACGAGTTCTGCGTACTCTGCAGATATGACGCAACCCGATAACAGACGCGATAGTCAATCAAGCAGCTGGCTACTCCCTATTTCAGGATGTGGAAGGACTTGGCGTAAATGCAAGCTTGACTAGTGTCATGCACTTAAAGTCACGAATCGGTTCTGGGGTCGCCTGTTTCTAGAAACAGCTGCCGCGTTCTAAAGTCAAGACTTTCAAAGGAATAGTGTCCATACTTGTCTTCTTCAAACAAAGTACCAGAAACCTAGCGCACTAGTACTACTATTAATAATGCGGGGGAAGTGTGCACTTTGAGTCATTCTAGGGCCTCACGGATGTGTCGGGACGGGGATGGCGTCAAAGGTCATCTAGCTGACGTACTTGTTCTCGAGGATGTAAGACATTGACACAGGTGGTAGCGGGCCGAGAGCGGCAAAAAATGGAAACGATGAGTTACATGATTCGCATTCCCACTGTTTTGTTTCATGTTACACCGATTCGGCTCACGGTTGCCAACAATCTTGCTGTCAGACGGCAATGCCGTTCGCCTGACGCCAAAACGTTTTTATGCGTTTCAAGATACAGCTGTGAACGAGCCTCGTCATATTGGTCAGTTCTGTCTGGCATCCCCGAGTCTCATGTTGCCGGCGCCGCTGGGATCAGGCCACCGCAAGTGTCAAAACTCGAGACCCCAGCCTCTACTCTTGAAACACTCGAAACAGGAAAAGGCTTCCAACTTCCCAGCGTTGCCGCGCGGTATGAGATGATTCGCCGGGGCGACCCTGTCGTCATCACACAATCGTCCCCGGGTTCTGGGCAGGCGCGTGGCGACGATCAGGTTCCATCAGGTCCGGGAAGCCCTGCAAGGAACCTTGACAATTGTAAGAAATGATTTGAAAACGTAAAAAGCTTACTTTTACGTGGCAAGTAATACGCACTTGTCGCCTAAGCTGTTGTGTCTAAAAACGGCCGTGCAATGCGTCTTGATTAAGGTTATGTTACAGTAGTATGTGCTAGGAGAGATGGGAAGAATACATACAGACTAGATAGTGGCGGTCCTCTTATCTGTCCAGGAGACGGCACGACTTGCTGGACTTGTATTGCCGAAAATGCTAGGGAGTTCTATCTCTAGTTTTGGTTCTCATCCTGAACCCTGGAACAAATAATCAACCGGCTTCATGCCTTGAGGATTAGTGAGAAGGGGATCTACAAGTACTTTAGGGGTTAACGATGGAATTGCTGCTTGGTCCGAAATCTATACACACAGCGTGTAACACTAATAAACCTGCGCAACCGTTTCTTCACCATTTCCTTAGGATGTGCTCCTTTCTTAGGGCTTTGTTGCCTTTATTGCGCCTGACCTCTAGGGTAAAGCCTTCATACCATGGCTATGCATCGGCTCCTTTAAGCCATTCGGTGACTCTGTCGCATCCTCTGAGTCGTCCGCCCAAGGCTCCAACGGGCGAGCGTATACGGCTTTCGTAGATAGTAGTGTAATCGCTGGTTGTAGTCCAAGTAAGCAACTATTAGCAGAGGTAATGCAAAGAAACCACCTAGAAAATAACAAATATCAGGACAACATGGTGTTTATTCGCGCTCTAATCGTGTAATATTGTACAAGTACTTTTAAAATCCAGCGATCAGTCCTTGATACAGTGCTCCTGGTCTATGTACTCTATGTCTATCAGAAAAGAAAATCATTTTTAGCAAATTAGCAAACCCCATTTACTTTTTTTAAAACCCAAATCAAGTACAGAACCCGCCTCCCATCCGGTGCCCTACATGCCATTGCCTGCCTGATAGGATGAAAGCATCGCCTGGTGCTTCTCGATGGCA